CATGGGTATAAATGGAGATTCAAATGAGTTCTTCATGTCTTCAGTAGCCTTCATAACACTTATTGACTTTTGGTAATTAATTTTATTCTAAAGTTGCTTATCTTGCATTGCCAATTTCTGAATACATTGCCAAAGCCCTGACTTACAGATTGAATAGTGGCAACAGCATCCATTTGGACTGAATTATTTCCTACTTCCACAAGGATTCCACTGCACCCCAATAGTAATAGTCACCATATAATGATAGAAAAAAAATCTTTTTCAAAGTCATTAAAATAAGAGCCTAAAATCCTTTTAATCTTTCTTTCTCTTGCCTTCTGTTCTCTCTTTCTCTATCTCTCTTTAACACACGAAGATGTCACAACCTATGACTCAGAGGCTACATGCCACAGCGTTGAATAGAGACCTTAAAACTTGGTGTTAAATTATAATTTTTTAATATGACAAAAGAGAACTTTATTAAACAAATTTAATTTTGAATCATCTTCATTAATCTCTCTGTGGTGTGCCTGCTCATTTTGAGAGTTCGTCTTCCAATTTAAAGAAAAAAAATCCACTCTTTCCCTAAATTGTGCATCATCACTTATTTCTAATAAATAAAGAACAAAAATTGTTCTCTAAACCATGGGTCTCCAAGCTTGGCGGACCTAGTTGGGGGGGGTGGGGTGGAGAGAGGGGATGGTTCTGCATGAGCTGCTCACACCCATACCTGCTGCTCGTACAGGGAGAATTGGCCTAATATTTTTGACCATTAAATTCCTATTTTGCTAATTGGGTAAAAAGTGTAAAAATTTTAAAGTTATTTTTAATGGCATCTTCCTATGAAATGTTAAGAAAAGCTATCTGGTCAGGTCAACACCTATGCAGTACATACAGAGATGAGACAAAATACTCTGTCTATTTAGCTATCATATTCTAATGTGCATACAATTTGAAGTCTGGAGTGTTGTATCTGTAATTCACCCTCATTTTAATGTTTCACAAAAACTATAGTATTTAAGTATTGTCCAGTCTCTTCTTAAAAACTTCCAGTGTTGGAGCATTCACAGCTTCTAGAGGTAGGTTGTTCCTGACAGTTAGAACAATTAATCAGTGGAACAACCTGCCTCCAGAAGTTGTGAATGCTCCAACATTGGAAATTTTTAAGAAGAGACTGGACAACCTTTTGTCTGAAATGGTATAGGGCCGTGGTGGTGAACCTATGGCACGCGTGCCACAGGTGGCATGCAGAGCCCTCTCTGGGGGCAAACACGCTGTCACCCCAGTCCTAGGCCTTCAGCTGGGTGTTATAAAACCTTTTTGCTTTAGGCCTCCGCCGCCGTGTGGGAAAAAAAGGTTCAATCAATCAATTTCAACTTCTCATGGGGAAAAAAAAGATCTTACAAAGTTGGAATTGATTGAATGAACTTTTTAGTCCCATCCAGTCTGCCGTTACCACCGCAGCCACGCCCATCCAATGGGCCACACCCACCAGGCACCCGATGATACATAAGTGGGTTTTGGGTTGCAGTTTGGGCACTCAGTTTCTAAAAGGTTCGCCATCACTGGTATAGGGTTTCCTGCCTGAGCAGGGGGTTGGACTAGAAGACCTCCAAGATCCCTTCCAACATTATGATGATGATAATGATGATGATGATGTGCTGTTTGTCTTCCTGAATGTTCCCTTTGTATGAATGATCACTGCAGACAGAATCTAAAACAGAATCTTGCAAGTATCAAATGTATTGAATCTCATTGAAGAATAGTTATTTCTGATACAGTATTCATTGTTACTCTTATTTTGTAATGGGCAAAGGTCTTTTTAAATGTGTTTTGCTGTGTGTTTTCAAAATACATGTTACATTAAGTATAATATACATTATTCCCATCTTCATCTGTGGAATATGACTTCTAAGGATAAACTTTCTAGTTTTCCAGCATTCATCCTGGAAATTAGTTAGGACAAGATCATTGTTGGCTATGTTACCTTTTTTCTTTCCAACCTTTTAAGTGGAGTGGCTCTTCCAGGGTTTCCTAATTACATGAGTAACTTTTTTCCAGTAGCAGCATTTGGCACCTTAAAACTAATCCACAAATCTTTCAGGTAATTCTGAAATAAATAACTGGATTGCTGCAGAAGTATCAACACTGACAACTTGAGGCAACACAGACCTAAGTTCCCTGGCTCACAGTAGTCCTTTTATTAAGAACTTAGATAGTGAAAAAACTTAAGGCTTACTAGCTCTTTTATGTACACTATAGGGAACTGTAGGAGACATTAATTATTTTCTTTAGAAAGCTGTTTAATCCAGGCATCAAAATGAAATAAGTAAACTTTTCAACACTTCCATGCTATTAGTGAACCAGGTTTTTGGCATTACTTTATTATACTTAACCAGACTTACCAACATGTTCATATGCTGAGGACAATTTATAAAAAGAAGTTACTGCTGGAAATGCATTGCCACATATATCTAGTGTGTTTCCCAGTAATATTTCAAAATTCTAAACAGCTATTTCTAATTCATCTGTCTGTAAAGTGACCACAATGCAGAAGACAGTTACTGGCCTGGCTATTGCAGTGATTGCAATTACAGGTTTTCCAGCTGTAGAGGTTAAATACATCATTTCTCAGAAGGCTAAGGTGATAATGTTAGTAAGTCATGAGTGTTGGTGTAGAGTTGGAGAATAATTGCCTATTGTCAAAACAAGTGGAAAGACAAGGCATTCATGTAGCTTTTGAGAAGAAATGCTGATTTTTCCCCCCCACTTAGAATGCAATTGACTTTGGATTTGGAGAGATAAAGTGCTTATAAAGGAATTTCTGTCAGAAATGTAAATAATTTTATGGCAATGATTTTTTAGCTTGTGTAATTCTTCCTTTTTCCAATTCCTTTTTCCAATTCCTGCTTCCAAAAGAAGTTGAAAGAAGAGAGATATGAGAGCGAGAGAGACAGACCGACAGACAGGATCACAAATGCTAATCAAGCATCAGTAGCCTTTTAAAATTTTTATGGTGACATACTTTTACTTCTGATAGTTTTCAATGCGCTCTCAGCTTGAAAGTATACACCATAGTCATTGATATCTTGTTGGGAAATATAAGTCTAAAAAAGAGTTTATTGATCTTAATAGTTATTTGTGATAGGCCTAAAGCTAGCAGATAATTCCATTTAAAATATTTTGTACAAATTATTGAATTATTAATATCTTATCATTGAGTTGCACATTGTATAATTTTGGGATCAATGTGCATCACATTTTTTAGAATCACACAATGAAAAATAATGAAAGCTTTGCCTCTGAAGTGCAGCTGAACTAGCTGAACAAGGTGTCTAACATTATTTTTTTATTAGATATTTTTATATGTCATTCTGCCTCCCCCTAGAGGGGCATTTTATATTCTTCTCCATTGTGGATATTTTTTATCTTTCTATCTTTTATTTTTCATAAAATAATTTGGCATGAATAATGCACACAAGAATCTATCCAAAGAGTATCTATACATGAAACTGAACACTTGTATTTCAATGTAGAATTGTTGGCAAGAACTAAAAAAAATACACTTTATTCATTAAACCACTTCAGTTTTTCTGGATCTTTTGCTACTGTAGATTTAAAAAATAACTCTTTTAGAACCTCATTGATCTACAGATGTATGCATACATCAATAGACTGAAAAGATAACTTTGTATCTAACAAAAGCTCTAAACTTGATGCAGAAAATTGTTTTGATACAGATATGAGATTATCTTTTTGCTTTTATAATATTGTATTGAAACATACTCTAATTGGTGTTGTTGTTCCTGCATTTTATAAGCTGGCAAGATTTTCTGATATTTGTGACTTGCATTAACTCTTTGATTTATTTAATAACTAAAAAATATACTTCCATGTAAATATTTATAAAGGATTTTCTGTCTTGGCCCAGAGAAAATGGACAATTTCTTTCCCAAACTCCATAAAAAAGGAATAAGGAGCATTATTATAGGAACATTGGAAGCTGCCTTAAAGTAAGGCATAGTATTTGTCCTTCTCACATAGTCTTAAAGTATAAAAGGGTCTTTTTTTCATTGTGTGTAACTCCGTGTTATTGGAAATGTCAACTATTAAACCTGCAGTTTAAACCAAGCACTTGCCATCTCTTCTCTGTAAAATGGTTGTGTCTTAAGTCTAAGGCAAGGGTCTTCAAACTTGGCCCTTTAATGACAGGTATGCTGGCTGAGGAATTCTGGGAGTTGAAGTCCACAAGTCATAAAAGGGCCAAGTTTGAAGACCCCTAGTCTAAGGGATCTCAGAAGCTACTCTAATTTTTGCCATCTGCAACAGCTGCCTAAATTCTTGAGGAATCTTCTTGTAGGGCTGACAAGCTCTTGTTTTCTTGCTTTCCACTTTAGGACATTATGGAGCAGTATGTGATTTTACCCCTCTGCAACTCAGACTAACCTGAGCACAACCAAACAGAACACTCCCCCAGCCAATCAGAGCACAGCCAAGCCCCTAACCATTCAGAACACACCTCCACCCAATCAGAACACAGCCAAGCTCCCATCCAATCAGTTCATACCCCACTGGCAGTTAAAAGGAAGAAACAGCTAAAACCACACATTGCTGCTCAAAGCAAGAAGCTAAAAACACCAGCCTGAAGATGACGAATGTGACTTCGTCGAAACGTTGCCAAGACACTTCCAATTTTACGCGGGAGAAAACCCGAACAACCAAAGACCTATATATATATATATATATATATATATATATATATATATATATATATATATATATATATATATATATTATATCTTATTGCACACACACTCAAGTCAAATGAACCTAATTTTGTTATATTACAGGGTTTTATTTATTTAAGGAACACACAATTATTGTTGATGGAGATGTGTATTCTGCAAGGAGTTGTAGATGGATTTTAATTCAGAAACTTACATGTAATGTTTGACAACATTAATGTCTTCAATTTCATTGATTAACAAATAACATGACACTGTCATTTCTCTTCTTTTTAGGATCCCAGAAGCAAGCATAAGTTCAAAATCCATACGTATGGGAGCCCAACATTTTGTGACCATTGTGGTTCATTACTTTATGGACTTCTGCACCAAGGGATGAAATGTGACAGTAAGATATTTATTTCATGCAGTTTTTTTTAAAAAAAATCAGTGAAGTCATTAGAGTTTTACCTAACTACTTTCCAGTAAAATTTATTGTAGTTCCTGTTAATTACAAGTGTAGCAGTCAATTTGAAATGAATATTTCAACACATCTAGCAAAAGACTGTAAGTGAGAAGAGCTTTTTCTCATGTTGATTTTTCTATAGCCATATATTAATAGAAACTTACTGGAAGACAGAAGCATTATATTCAATTAGCAGTTGACCTGCAGTATTATGATAAAAGCATAAGCATTAAAAAATTAAGGACAGTTTGTGGCTTCATAATGCTTGTTCTCTCTCCTTTTGTTTTGTTTTTTGTTTTGGTTGATTCTCCCTTGCAAATTGCCAGCACTAGAACCCACTTTGTTCTGAGGAATTGATTTCCCCCTAAATAAAGCAGTAGGATCGTGTCCAAAAGGTTTGTGACATTTTGACTATTGCCACATGATTTCTACTGGAGCAACCCAATGGAGCTGGCAAAAGAAACCAGTGTATCCAAGTCTCATACATAAGATCCATGGGAGAATTCTCTTGCTATGTCATTCCCAGGGATTAGTTGAAATAGGGAAAACTAAAAGGATGTAGATTAGTATAAATATCCAATACTATAAAAACCAGGACTCTCACACCAGGGTATCTGAACTTACTGATCATTAGTTTTATTTTTATTTAGAAAATTTATTTTGCCATCTACATGGTGACTGAAGGCGGCTTACCAGATAGATAAATGCAAATACTACATATCCCTTCCCATTACAATTTTATCAAAAGGCTCTTTTTAAAAAAAAAAAAGAAAAGAAAAATCAAAATGAATTTATGCTGCATCAAGTGGAAGGAGAGAAGGTGAAAAAAAAATGGAGTGGGGATAGTGCCTCATGAACTATTTCACAACATAACCTATGGCAGTTTGTCAAATTCTAAGTATAAGGTATCCTGCTACTAGGAATGCAACAGTAGTTGCAACAAAGAGATGAATAAAAACAGCTGTTGTCAGAAAATACACAAACTGCTGTTTCTCCTCATGTGGTTTGAATAGAACTCCTCTTCAATAGCTGTAAAAATAGCAAGCTGTCACCTATGACTAATTAAATGGCTTGGAAGCTATTTTGGGGATTCCTTAGAAACCTGCTCCTGTGGAGTCCTTAGTGCTCTCGGAGCTTGGTTGTTTGCTTGCAGATATTTCATTACCTATCTAGGTAACAACATCAGTGCAAGTAAATGTGGGCTTCGCTTTCTGTTTATATACAGTAACTTGCCCTGCCAGTGTTTCTCCCTGGAAGTTCCTTGATTGGGTATTGTTACTATAACATCACTTCCCCACTGAAGGCCACTCCACATTACAATTCCCCACTACATTGTAAATATATTATCAATTCTCCATGACAATGCCTCCAGAAAATTAAAGGCCTAAAAATAGAAGATGAAATTATGGTTTTATTCAATGTCACATACACAACTCATCTGTCCTAGGTAAATACTCTTAAGATAAAAATACCCAGAAACATGGACCCCATCAACCTCTGCCTCAATACCTACGTGCACTTTGATTGACAGATATATGAACAAATCAGAAGAACATCCATAGGATCACCACTATCAGGACTTATAGCAGAGATTGTAATGCAGCAGCATCTGGAAAAAACAGCACTCCCACACAAACAGCCAAAAATAGGAATCCGATATGTCATAATAAAAAAGGAACCATGAGAGAAGACACAAGAAACAATCCACAACATCTTCAAAGGAATAAAGTTCAGCAGAGAAGAAGAAAGCAACAACATGCTCTTCTTTCTGGATATAGTCATCAGCAGAGGAAACAACTGCAAAAAAAATTTAGAAACACATGTCTGTTGAAAAATAACCCCCACTAAACAAATCCTCCCACAAGCGGAACTGTGTAAGAAAATTATTCAAATGAGCACAAACTGCAGCAACTCAGAACACCAGAAAAAAGAAATGGATCGCCTATACAACATCTTCCAATAAAATGGATACCCTTGTAACTTTATCAAAAAGTGCCCGACCGTTCAACCACAACAGCACAACCGCAAGGTATGAAAAGGATAACTCTGATCATACATTAAAAAAATCTCAGAAACAGCCAACAGACTATTACAGCCACATGGCATCATTGTAGCATACAAACCAATTAAAGCCATCAAAAACATTTTAAGTAAACCAAAAGACCCAGAAGCCTAAGAAGAAAAAACATAGTCATTTACAACATAGAGTGTAAAGAAGGTTACAGCCACTATGTGGGACAAAAAGGTAGAAGATTAGCAGAAAACATGTATGGACACGAACTAGCAGTCAGAAGACATGATGAAAACGCCATCTATTGTGAGATGGACAGACCCAGCCACTGTTTCAACTGGGAAATTATGAGCATCCTAGACCAAGTCAAATCCATAAACACTAGGGAATTCCTGGAAGCTTGGCATTCAGACAAATCAGCCTTAAATAGACACATAGAAATAAACTATATTTACACATCATTCAAAAGAGACAACAAAAAGTTACAATGAAACAGAAAAGAATAGAAATCATCCACTCCAGTAGCCAGTGGCCAGATAAGCAGGGATTCACAGCAGGCAAGCAATCCAGCAGAAAACCATACCCCAATCAAGAAACTAACCAAGGAGAAAACCACACTTCCACCAACACTGGCAGGGCAAGGTGCTGTACATAAACAGGGAGTAAACACCATGCTTTAGCATTGCATCTGCAAACAAATAACCAAGCTCAGAGAGCACCAAAGACTCTACAGTTCAACTCAGAGCTACATATAATCTCTTCTGTTGAAACTCAAGACCAGTAATAAGAAATCATTTAAGTAGTTTAAGGTAGAAAAGGAATGTAAATATTTTATTTCATTCTACAAAGCTACCTCTTTCTATCTGGATTTTTTTAAAAAATGATATGATACTACGGTTCAGGCCACCTTTCTTTTCAAATGTATGCATGTTGTGGAGAACCCTACATGAAAACGGATCAGCCTCCATTGTTACTTGGTCTACAGTTTTGGTAGGCTTGAGTTGTTTTTTAATTTGCTTAGTATTGTATCTACATTTTGTCTTCCCTCTTAAGAACACACGGTAGCATCCATGGTAGTCCTCTCTTATTTTATCACCAGAGCATCAAGCCTGAGAAGCTGTACAGAGAAAGAGTGAGTAGGTCCAAAGTCACTCAGTGAGCTTCATCTCTGTGGTTGAAGCCCAGCATTTTAATCACTGTGCTACGCTGGCTTTCACTTGTTCTGACTCCCCATGTTCCTATGTCTCAGTAGTTGGCTTTGAGAAAAATCAGGCATTCTTAAGACTTGGTTTCTTATGGAAGAAAGACAAAGAACTCTTTCAGTTTTTCTGCCTTTCAACTTTTTTTTTCAGTTTCAAGTTTTTATATTAATTTTACAATATTACATTTACGTATTTGAAAAGTAGCATGGCGGCTGAGCCCAGTAATTCCGTTACATTTGAATATCATCAGTACAAATTATTACAACAAATTATTACAACAAACTAATTCCCTCTCTTTCCCCCATGATATCTACTGTCATGTTCAAACCAATACAGTTCTTATTCTATTAATCAAACAAAAAATACCTTTCTAATATTCATCAATAATCTTCAGTCTATACATATCTTAATTAACTTGACATTCCACCTTTTAGACAATAATCTAGTAAGTTTTTTTAACTTTAATTTGCCATTGATATTTAAGTTTAATGTTTAATCTTTATCATTTCCAGGTTTTAAATGATCCCAATTTCTAAGTCTCCTATCTCACATTTGGAGCTAATAGTTAATTTTTTTTTTCATTTTCTTCCTTCTACTTCCTCCTTTCTTCCTTTCCAGAAAGAGAAAAAAAACTAAAAATAAACCACCAACATTTATACCACAAACCCATATACAAATTTAATTATTAGTACTTCTACTTTTTAAGTTTTACTTAACCTGTCTCAACTCATAACAATATCTTAAATTAAAATCTTAATTATTTGTAGACATTCAGATTACATTTAGTATTTAATTTTTCCAAATTTTTAATTAAACACAATTCCTTTATCCCGATTGATCATACATTCTAATATTTAAAATACACACCTTATATATAAATTCTACCCTCTATCTTACCCATCTAATGACAATATAACATTCTTATTTCAACATATTTCTAGATTTTTTATGACCAAAATTTTCTTTATCTCAAATCGTTACAATGTCTTGTGTTCAAAATATATAGTCTATCTATTTAGATATATTCTATTTTAGATCTCATATATAGATCAGAACCCCAATCTTTTTCAATCTTATTCTGGCTTTTTTCCTCTGCCAGGTCATTTTTCGTATTTTTGTCTTTAAATCATCAAAAAAATCTCCTTGTATTGTTGTGGCTATTGTTTGATGTTGATAAGAATGTCCAGCTGATGTTTTCTTAAGAGGACTAATTGATTTAGCCAGTAGTCTCTTTATTTTTCCAGTTTGATGCAGTTGTCCCGAAGTATTTATCTTCTCTGTCATCTGTTTTTCTTGTTTATCTTCAAATTCCTTCTGGTTTATAAGAAATGTCCTTTCCTTGTTCTCTATTATCAATTTCTTTTTTGTGTTTTCTATTGTCTGTATTTGTTGAGTATCTAAGTCTTCTGTCATAACATTTGGTTGTTTCACTTTCTCTATAAAATTCTGTATAGATAATTCTTTGATTGAAGTCATAGTTTGAGTTTGTATATCCAGAGCTTCCATACGTAGAGTTTGGATCATTGCTTTTAATATACAAAGAATTTGTTCCTGTACTTCCTCTGTAGAAGAAATCCTTTCCTGTTCTCTTTCCATTGTAATATATTAACTCAAGAAAAAGAAACTGACAGTCAGAAAGTCCACCAAATGGGGAGCTGAGCTGAATTTTGCAGATGGTGTTTCAAGGTTATTTTATATCTTATCTATTTTCAAAGCTGTCAACAAGTCTCTTAGAGAATAGCAGGTTACATCTTAGAGTTACTTGGATCTTTTTAGGGTTCCCCCCCCCCGCTCTATTCTAAGGGGAAAAAAACCCCAAATCTTCAATAGTAATTAGAATAAAAATCAAGGAAGAAACCTATATAGAGAGAGCAGAAAGTTGCAAATCTTATAATCCACCAATTTTAGGAAATAGGATTCCAATTAAGATCTCAGTATTTTTCCAACGTTTTAAACTCCCAAGTGGTTGATAGCTGCTGTTTCTGGAGGGAGGTCTAGAATCCCCCTTCCCTCACCACAGGAGGGAAAGTACTTTAGCAGCTTATGCAGGTAATTAAATAGTTAGGATGTAAGAGAGGCAAACCTCACCCAGTCCAGTCCACGCTGCTTTGAAGTTGCCAGATGGTAGTGTGACTTCAGCTGTTTGCAGCCTAGGGTCGAGCCATATTTCTATGGCCGGTCCTTTCGTCCGCCAGTTTGGAGGAATCTCCAGGTCTGATGGGAGAGTTGCTGCTCTTCCGGGATCCAGCGAAAGCCCCTCCTTGCTGGTTGCTTCTTCGGGGCGACTTTTGGCCCTTTTCAGGGGGCCCCAGCGATGCGAAACTGAACAGGGGAGAGAGAACAAGTCTCCCAACCGTCCATGGCAGCTGTGTAACGAACCGGAAGTCTGTCTTTCAACTTTTGTTGCTGTTTCCCCACTCTTAGATATGAGACTGTTCCATAACTAGGTTTACCTCTAGAATTAAAACCATGTCTATAATATCTGAAGGGATTCTAATATTAAGGTATAAAGATATACTTTTCCATAATATGGAAGAACTAAAAATTAGGTATCTCAATTCTTACAACATTTTAATTCAGCGGTTTTATTGTCAAAACAAACCACTTGTCAAGATTTTGATTAAAAATAGTTGTGGTCACTTGTTTTCCCAATCAGATTTTTAAAAATCAATCCAGAAATCATTTTTCACATCATGTTTCTTGGGGAATAGCTAAAACATATAGTTCTTTTGCTAATATATGGCAGTTTTCCTGATCAGGCATAACCTGTTTTTTTTATTTATGGAACCAGTATGTATGCATTAATGGATGCTCAAAAACAGAAATAGTCATTGATAGTTGTACAGTGTTTTAAATTTAATTTAATGATTGGACAATGATCAATCTCAAAAAAGAGGAGATCTAATAATAATAATAATAATAATAATAATAATAATAATAATAATAATAAAGTTGGGAGGGACCTTGGAGGTCATCGAGTCCAATCCCTTGCTCAGATAGGAAACCCTACACCATTTCGGACAAATGGCTATCCAGTCTCTTCTTAAAAACTTCAGCTTCTGGAGGCAGGTTGTTCCACTGGTTAATTGTTCTAACTGTCAGGAAGTTTCTCCTTAGTTCCAGGTTGCTTCTCTCCTTGACTAGTTTCCATCCATTGCTTCTTGTCCTGCCTTCAGGCGCTTTGGAGAATAGCTTGACTCCCTCTTCTTTGTGGTAACCCCTGAGATATTGGAATACTGCTATCATGTCACCCCTAGTCCTTCTTTTCATTAAACTAGACATACCCAATTCCAGCAACCGTTCCTTATATGTTTTAGCCTCCAGTCCCCCAATCATCTTTGTTGCTCTTCTCTGTACTCTTTCTAGAGTCTCAACATCTTTTTTACATCGTGGTGACCAAAACTGGATGCAGTATTCCAAGTGTGGCCTTACCAAGACATTGTAAAGTGGTATTAATACTTCATGTGATCTTGATTCTATCCCTCTGTTAATGCAGCCCAGCACTGTGTTGGCTTTTTTGGCAGCTGCAGCACACTGCTGGCTCACATTTAAGTGATTGTCCACTAGGATTCTGAGATCCCTCTCACAGTTACTACTGTTGAGCAAGGTACCCCCTATACTATACCTGTACATTTGGTTTTCCTTGCCTAAATGTAGAACCTTACTTTTTTTACCATTGAATCTCATTTTGTTAGATAGCACCCAATGTTCAAGTCTGTCCAGGTCCTCCTGTATCTTAAGCCTGTCTTCTGGAGTGTTGGCTATTCCTGCCAGCTTGGTGTCATCTGCAAATTTGATGAGTTCCCCATCTATCCCCTCATCCAAATCGTTGATGAAGATGTTGAAGAGCACTGGGCCCAGAACAGAGCCCTGGGGCACCTCACTACACACTTCCCTCCATGTAGATGCGTTTCCTTTGAGGACCACACGCTGAGTACGGCTGGTCAGCCAGCTACGAATCCATCTGGTGGTGATGCTGTCTAACCCATATTTTTCTATCTTATCTAGTCTTATCTTATCTTATCATATTGAGTTTATTTTTATTTTCATTTTGCTTTTGGTAAAGCCCTAGCAGGTATTCAATCAACTTCTGTTTTCCCACATTTTGCTTATTTTCAACTAAATGCCACCCACACAGTTTTTAATGTCTAAACTGGCATCATTAACGTTTGTCTCAAAATGTTTGGTATGTTGGGGAATCATTGACTCTGGCCAAATTTATCATATGTCATTGTAAGATTTGTGTAAAAGACTGCAGCAGAAAGGACTGTTTCTTAACTCAAAATCATATTTCTTTTGTCTTATTTTGGTCTGCCCTGTGAGGGAGAATTACTTGCTTCCATTCGTGAGAAGATAACTGCAAACACAATTCTTAACATATTTACTGAATGTGGAAAGAATTTTTTTTCTGAGTCCCATTATGGCCTATAAATTGACAAGTTTTCCCTAATAGCCCAAAGAAAAATCAACTTCTCTGGCAATGTGAAAGTAGCAGTGCCAATTAGTTATTTTTGTCCTTTTCAGTCCTTAAGATATTAAATTATTTATTTTCTGACTTGCAGCCTGTGATATGAACGTTCACAAACAATGTGTAATAAATGTTCCAAGTCTTTGTGGAATGGATCACACGGAAAAAAGAGGGAGGATTTATTTGAAGGTTGAAGTGACTGGTGACAAGCTGGAAGTCACAGGTAAGGAAAGCTTCTTAGATGTAATGTACCTCATTTAAGGATGCTTTTATTCATTTATATTGAATAGCTTTGAAACAATAAACATAAAAAATGACTTATGTGCTATATTCAGGAAAACTTCAGCTCCTGGCTGGAACAAAGGATTATGAATTCCCTTGAACTGGAGGATGTAATAGGCTTCTTACTATCCATCTAAGAACATATCCAGTATCCATGGTTGGAAAGTTGGGATGGAAAATAACACAGTGTGCCCATATTCTCCTTTGAGGCTTCCAGCAAGGAACACAATGTACTTTTGGCCTAATTCAGCATGATGTTTCCTAGTTATGCAACAATACTAAGAAAAAGATCTTGAAATAATAATTGATTACAAACTGAATAAAAGTCAGCAATGTGATGCAGCTGCAAAATAGGCAAATGTGATGCTAGGCTGCATTAACAGAAGTATAATTTCCAGATCACAGGAAATAGGGTTGTTTTTTTTCACCTTAGTCTGCACTGATGCATTGTATCCAACTCTGGGACTGTCCTTTCAGAAAGGTGTGGAGAAAACCAATCTGAATATGCACACACACACACACACACACACACACAGAGAGAGAGAGAGAGAGAGAGAGAGAGAGAGAGAGAGAGAATTTTGGGTGGCAGAGTCCAAAAGTAGCACCTTTTCTGTTGTGGCTCCTGCCCTTTGGAATATCATGTCCCTCAAGGTGGGATCTGCCCCCATCCCCCTGGCCTTCCAAAAAAGAACACCTGCCATCTGGCTTGGGACCCCGATGGGGGCATCCCACTGGGGAGGTAGATTAGGAGATGATCCTACCTCCACCCTGTTTACACAATGATTCATTTTTATCTAGTTCTTGGTCAGTTTTAATGTTTTAATTCTTAATGCTTAATATTTTTAATGTTTTTATTGTTTTATATCACACTTTGATGTTGTTGTAAGCTAACCAAAGTCGCTTGACAATGAGATGGTCAGCATATAAATTAAAGCAATAAATAAATCAATAAAATATTCAGAGAATGGCATTGAGGATGATCAAGCAACTAGAGCAGTGGTTCTCAACCTGTGGGTTGGGACCCCATTTGGGGTCGAACGATCATTTCACGGGGGTTCCCAAACAAGGCTGTCCGCCATTTTTTTCCCTTTTTCTTTGGCCACGCCCCTGGCACCCGGTGATGTATAAGTGGTTGGGGGTCACCACAACATGGAGAAATGTATTATGGGGTCGCGGCATTAGAAAGGTTGAGAACCACTGAACTAGAGCCTAAATCTTAAGAGGAAACGTGAAGGAAATTGGTATTTTAGCTTTGGGGGTGTGATAACATATTTAAAGTGTCAGCTATCACAGAAGGATACATCAAAATCTCTCCTTTATTTTTATTTTTTCAGGGTGCAGAAAATAAACACTGTATTTAGGTTGTGTTAAAATTGAAGGCAAGGAAACAGCTTCCCAACAGTAACATGAGTTTTGATTGTGGAATTAATTTACTTGAAAAACCGATGGGCTGTCCTTTATTGAATGTATTCATTGGAAGTAGACCTCCATCTGCTAGGAATGCTTTTGCTTGGGTGATTATACTGAGTGAAAAATGTTATGAATCTATCTTCATAGAAAATGCAAATGCAAAAATAGAAAATGAAACAAGATAATTAGGTAATATTTGACTCATGTTTCACAGCAACTCTCAAAATGCAGGCAGGTCAATCCTACTGCTTAAGGTAGCTTGGTTTCCTTTCAAATTCAGTGACACCTCTGAAGCAGCAGCCCATGAAAATGAAAGCTAAGCTTTCTGCGGACTTTCTTTTCAAATTAGGAAAGGCAAAGAAATATTAGATCTATTTTTATTCTTAGGTCGTTGCCAATATAATTGACACTGAATTTAGTAGGCCGCTATCTGTAATATTTCTAGCATTTGCTGTGACAAGGTTATTATGTTCATGGCAAATTTTCCACAAGAATGAAATCAGAAATCTCTTCCTTTTAGTGCAGTGGTTCTCAACCTTCCTAATGCCGCGACCCCATAATACAGTTCCCCATGTTGTGGTGACCCCCATCCACTTATACATCACTGGGTGCCAGGGGCGTGGCCAAAGAAAAGGGGGAAAAATGGCGGACACCCTTGTTTGGTGACCCCCGTGAAATGGTCGTTCGACCCCAAATGGGGTCCCGACCCACAGGTTGAGAACCACTGTTTTAGTGTGTGTGTCATAGAGATAGTTGGCTGATTCAGGGAATTGAAGTCCACATATTTTCAAATTGACAAGGTTGAGAAACACTGATGTGAGACACAAAAGACTCTGGTAGGGAAATCTATTTTAACAAAACTAGCTGGCCTGATATTTCAAGAGAACTGCCAATGGTAGATGCTGTTTTCTCTATTCTCATAGCCCTGGATAGCTGAGGGAGAGGAAAATTATGGGGGAGCTCTCCTCACAACTTGAGGTGGAAGGAAGCATGATATTCTTAGCCTGGGAAGATGTAGGAGTGTCAGTATTCTGAATCATCTTCCGGAAAGTGGTATTGAGTTACCTCTAATTTTTGCTGATCTTAGGGCTTAATTTAGTGTTACCCAGGGCAGAATTCTGTAGGAGTCTGAATCAGACTTCCAATTGCTCTTAAAATGCATTGTGCTAAATAAATAAATAAAGTAGGCCTTACTTTGCCAGATGCCCTGAAGGTAGAAAAGGCAGTTAAGCTGATACAAAACTGACAGTGTCACATAAGCCTTGAAGCACTGAATTACTATCCACCTCCACTCCGCTGCTAGTACAGTACTTTAGCTTTTCTCTATTGTATGCTTCTCCTCCTCCTTCTGTCTCCTAATTAACTCTTTTGATTTGTCATGCTAAAAGAGAGCACCTGGCCTGCTTTTATAGCAAATTGGAAGAAAGGAGTGGGGGTTTGTTTTGTTTTTGGTTTTTTTGGTTAGTTGGTGGGCAGTTGCCTATTAACAGTACTATGTCCTCCCTTTTTTCCTTCTTTGATTCTTCACAATCATCTATGACAGGGGTGGAGATTTTCTCCTTCTCATAAAATAGTAGACTCTGAGACCCAATAAATAAAGCTAAATGAGGGGTGAATAGAAGAATAATAGGGCTAGAAGGGACCTTGGAAGTCTTCTAGTCCCAACTTCCTGCTCAAACAGGCGACCCTATACCAGATATGTCAAACACAAGGCCCGGGGGCCGGATGTGGCCTGCGAAGTGGTTTCATTTGGCCCACAAAGCCATCCTGGAAACAGTGAAGGAACGGCCCCCACTGCCTTGGCCCTGGCCCTGGCCCAGGCTGGCTGGGAGGGAGCCAATGTACAATTTTGTCGTGGCCATCTATACTGAAATGCATTCAGTCTTAGCTCCACAAGGCTGTCTGGAAACAGTGAGGAACCAGCCCCTGCCGTGTCAGCCCCTTCCCCTGGGTGCATGCTGGAGAAGTGTCACCTTTTGTGAGGAATGAAGAAATACACCATTGCTTGGAAGTGGCCAGCAAATGGCCCTCACCTACTTTGCATATCTGGCTTGATGGGCTCCAGGGAAGGGGTTTCTGCAGGTAGCGGGACACTCTCCTCACAGCTCCAAGAGCTGAGCTGGGTGGCGCGAATCTGATGAGAAGTGCAATGCTGCCTAGCCCCCAGCCTGTTCAGTTTCAGCAGGCAGCAAGGTGCAAAGCTGGCGAGCTTTGCACCGCCGGGCTCAACCTCTTGGCACTGTGAGGACAGTGCCCCGCTGCCTCTGACTTTGCCCTCATACCCATCATGAACAACCTGGCTAAGGAGCAGCACCCTTGAGGAGGAGGTAAGTGCAGCTGGGCACCCCCTTGGGGAAGTGGGTTGGGCTTGGTGCTACGGGTGCTCGAGGACCAGGCTGGGCATTTGACCTCTGCTGCCCAGGGCTCCGGGCAGCCTGCACCACCATCCACCCCCCCACATGGCCTGAGAGGAACAGTGGCTCCTCCAGTGGACCATGCCTTGGCACTTGCCCTGGTCCCACCCCCTTCTGCCAGAGACCCTCAGGTCTGTCCCACTCCTGCCCAGGCCCCCACAGGCACCATTGACGCAAATGATGTAGAGCTGGCCATGCCCACCCAGTAGGCCACACCCATTCCATCCATGCCCACCCAGAAGGCTGCACCCACCCTGGCCACACCCACCCAGTCCCCCGAGGGCAAACACAATGCTGATGCGGCCCTCAATGAAATTGAGTTTGACACCCCTGCCCTATACCATTTCAGACAAATGGCTGTCCAATCTCTTCTTAAAAACCTCCAGTGATGGTAGTATCCACAACTTCAGGCAAGCTTTTCCACTGATTAATTGTTCTCACTGTCAGGAAATTTCTCCTTGGTTCTAGGCTGGATCTCTCCTTGATACGTTTTTGCCCATTACTTCTTGTCCTGTCCTCAGGTCTTTTAGAGAATAGGCTGACCCCCCTCTACTGTGTGATAATCCCTCAAGTATTGGAAGATTGCTATTATATCATCCCCTAGTTCTTCTCTTTGTTAGATTAGACCTACCCAGTTCCTGCAACCATTCATTGTATGTTTTAGCCTTCAGCTCTCTAATCATCTTTGTTGCTCTTCTTTGCACTCTTTCTAGAATCTCAACATATTTTTTTGTATCATGGTGGCCAGAACTGACACAGAATTTCAAGTTACAAAACAGCATAAAGAAGTACTTACATGTCATGTGATTTTGATACTATCCCTCTGTTCATGCAGTCTAGGACTGCGTTGGCTTTTGGGGCAGCTACTGCACATTGCTGACTCATACGTAAGTGGTTGTCCACTAGGATTTCTAAATCCCTAGATCACAGTGACTGCTGTTGAGCCAGGTACCATCTGTTCTATACCTATGCATTTGTTTTTTCTTGCCTAAGTATAAAACTTTACTTTTCTCACCACTGAAATGCATTTTGTTGGATAGAGCCCAGTTTTGAATTCTGTCAAGATCCTTCTGGATCTTGAACCTATCTTCTAAACTGTTGGCTATTCCTTCCAACT